GGAGGCAGTATGACCTCTGAAACGTTGGTAAACATCGACCAGACTACACAGCGCAACAACCCAGAAGACAGAAATCTTCATACTCACCGCTTTAAAAACCTCAAATCATACCATGCAGGTTCCACAGGGCCCCACTTAGATTTACTTCGTCCGTTGTAACCCCCAAAGTGAGTATTTTGTAAATATTGACAAGAGGAAAAACTAACTTCACTAGTTTCTGCTTAATGAAATAAATGTATATTATAAGAAATGCGATCCCATGAATATATGCAGCAATGAAATTTCCGTGTCTGAGACAGAAGCTGTCTTACCTGGAAGTAGGTCGCCTCAGAGAGAGGAGATACCGAGACGTTCTACTTAACAGCGGGCATCGTGTGCCAATGAGTATATAAATACTGACCATCACGCCAAGTGGAACACATTCTGAGATTAATTCATATCCTGTCTTACTGGAGTTCTCGTTCTGAGAAAAGTTATTTCAAGCTATAATTTTGCATTTCTTCTTTAAGGGAAATAACGCAGTGTTTTTCTGCTCGTAGTACACGTGCACCTGAAGGAATTTGAATTATTTACACGATATAGAATTTATATAAAATATATTTGTGCAGATAAACAATAAAAGGTTTCAGCTACTAATGATTATGTTGGTCAGAACTATCAGTATGAATCTTATACCAAGTTTCTTTAAATTCGTCAGCTGGTTAAAATTTGCTAGGGACACACACCCAATAAAGCTCTGTTTTATAATGAAGCGAGCTGGTTAAAATTTGCTAGGGACACACGCCCAATAAAGCCCTGTTTTATAATGAAGCTTTGAAAGCAGATTTAAGAACATCCTTATATATGCTGTGTGTGTTTGTGATTTCTTTTACTTGACTGTATGGCCAATAGCATCTTCTGAGCAAAATAACAAGTGTTTGGGAAATTTAATATGCGTTCAATGGCAATATAATACTTTGGATGTGTGAAATATCCATTCTCAAGCAACATAGAGCTTCTAGAAGTTTCACCTAACGCCCTAATTTGGTGTCTGAAACATGAGTATCTCAGTATGCAAGGAAGTGTTATTATCAAATTTATGCCTCTTTCCAAGATTAATTGGACTTTCGTTGGGTTCAGATCCGTATTTTTAAAACTCTTTCGTGAAAAAAAATCTGTCGAAATAATCTTATATGAAAGAATATCGCAGTGTTTTATTATATTTTATTGTAATTATGACCTTCAACACAACATATTCATAAAACACTTAATGTAATATGGCGACATGTTTCGGTATCAAAATACCACCTTCAGGGCAATTAAATATAATGCGCTAACTAGGTTCTAAAACTGGTTTAAGATTAAAATTCTATTACAAGCTTACATAGGTTTAAAATTGGATTAAACAAGAAGTTAAAAAATAATATACGTTTAAATTTGAACCGAATGAGTCTATTAATTTGTCACATAAAGCTTCAACAAATAAATATCTTAGGTTCATCATTAAATAAATTGACTGCGTAGATCACAATTGCATTATAATACTGTCTAAATAAGTTTAGGGTTCTAAACTACATATTAAAATTAAAAGATTATAAAACAACATATCGTAAAATATTTCCGATTTACAAGCAGTGCACTACAGATATTCGTTATGGATTTTAGTCTTAATATGCAAAAGTAGACACGTCAGTTGAATTAACAGTGGTTGAGTAATTTTTTATTTATGGTTTGAATCCAATAAAATGTACACAGTTAACTCTGCAGTCTTGCTTGTTTGATAGACTACATAAATAAATTAAAATCTATACAAATGTAAGTACGTAGTGTTGGTAAGAGGAACGGCTGTCGTAAAGCGATACCAAACAGGCTTAAAAGAGTGGC